ACCATTCACCCGTCCACCTGCACCCAAATAAAATTCTTATAGTGCTAAGAAAAAAAAGAATTGTAAATCTGTAAGGTCCACCACACTTAAGAACGACCAGCCAACACAAAAAAAAAAAAGATCTGGTAACAACTAAAGGAGGCGCGCGTCTGTACAGAGATGGCTTGTTGTTCGTGGGGATGCTCTGTAAGCCGGCAAAAGGGCTGGCGACGGCTAGTCTCGCGGTGTTGTGGCCGGAGCACATGCAGAGAGTGAGGACGACGGGAGGCGACTGCTCAGAGGTGTTGCACGGGGGCTGAAAGTGTGCTCCTCCTCGGATGGGCTTGTCGGCTCTGTCTCACGGCGAGAAGTTAGGGCGTCGCCGTCGAGTTTGGATGTCGCGATTGATGCCTACGAGAAGGGAGGCTCGCAACGGGGGTTCGTTGTTTGAAGAGATCGCCGCCGCTGTGCTTCGCGGGGAGAACGCCGGCGAGTTCGTGGACTGCTTTGGTTGCCGATGGATAAGGTCGCCGGGAGGAGATATTTCGTTGGCGATGGGAGAGAATTTTCCGATCTGAGATTTCAAGGGACACGAGAGTGGCAAGTTGAACTCTTAGGGCTTAATTAATCTGATAGTTGTTTCAGGGAGATGGCTGCGTGAAAGAGAGAGAGAGAGAGAGAGAAATGATACCTGTGGGCGATGGGGGGTTTCAGTAGAAGGACCTGGTAACAACTTTTTGGGAATGAAAATGACCAACATACCCCCTAAGGTAGAAAACAATGGAGCAAAGGAGAAACCAAAAGGACGAAAATGAGAGTGCCACGTGTCAACTCTCAAAGGATTCTAATGTTTTCTTATTAGTTATTAAGGTAGATATTAAATTTTAATTGTTGACCCAAATTTCATTGAGAATTAATTTTACCAAATACAAATGGGAAAACAAATGTTAAATCAATTTAGATTAATAAAATCAATATTTATGAAAATGCTAACTAAGTAGAATAAAGTATATTTTTCGTCAATGTGACAAGTAGAACAAAAATTCGAAAGTATAGGTAGTATATGAGAAGAGTAATGTTATAATTGAAATATATTGTAGATAGAGGTGTACATAATATTCAAATTGAGTGAGATCCACCAATGTGTTAAAACAAATTCATCTACCGCTTTGATTGTATTAGCAAACTGATAGCAAATTCTATTACTTAATTTGACCAGCAAATTCAATTAGTGATTCATTGAATAAGTGTATGGTAAATAGTAATAATTTATAGTCGTAACATTGTATTAATTTTATTTTATTTTTATTTTATTTTTTTTATTTATTTTTTTATTTTTTTATCATCTACTTAAAAAACGTTGCTCCTTTAGCCTTTTCTTTTTTTTTTCAAACGGCAATTATATAAATAACTTAAAAATTCAAAAGAGTACAATCGAAGTGCCAAATGACACACTGAAACCAGAAGACTGGACCACCCCCTTGTCATCACATGCAAGGGGTACAAACTCCATCAAGGAGGCAAACTACCATAAAACAAAACTCCAAAAAAAGCAGACAAGCTGCACTAAAAGCAGACAAAGCTGCACTAAAAGCAGACAAGCTGCACTGAAAGCAGACACAGCTGCACTAACAAACCAACAAAAACAAAACGATAATAAAAACACACACCTAATGCACAAATAAACTAGAACCTCCTAAACACCTAACAGGCAGACTCGATGCCTGACCATCGGCGATCCACAACCACTAGCAAAGAGATTCAACACAGCCACAAACCGAAACCTCAAGCCCGAAAACTGCGGCCACTCGTGCCCCCTAGACGGATCTAAAGAAGAGACTGCTCTTGGTTCACATCTGGACTTCGAAAATCATCCACGCTGAGAAGAGAGGGAACCATAAACCTACTACTACTGACAGCAAAACATGAAAGCAAAAATAAAATTCAACAACACC